CTTACACCCAGCAGAAAGGCGGCGATTACGTTTCATCGTAATGCCTGTTTACCATCAGGCTGGACATGAGACTCTCACGAAGCATGAGTAACCGATGCGTGTGCGCAACGACGCTCGAAATCGGAGGAGGGTGAGAAGTACGTAACAGTTTGCTCTCCGCCACTCATGGCATTGCCCCCATGGAACATTATACTCGGTTTGTAATCGGCGGAGTTGCTGGAACGTCGCGAAGAATCCGCAACCTGACTTCATGATGCAAGAAGGTAAATATGGCCCTCAGATCTAGCTAAGACACATCTGACAATATATTGGATCTTTGCGAGACTGCTGAAAAGCCGAGGTGTTTCCCTCGTTCGGTGTATATGTGCGTTTTGGTGTTAGAAAAAGCGTGTGACCGATTCCCGCGTGGCAGTCTATGATTACGCCTTCGAATATACGGGATCGGTGGTCAGTTGTTACGGGCCATCCAATCACTATACTCTGATTGGTGATGCTGCGTGAAAGGAAATCGCGTTAAGTCCAAACCTTCCAGCATTGACACTGGTCTCCGCCAAGGCTGGGTCCTGTTTACTCTAATCTTTGTGTTGTTTATTGATAAAAGAGTCAGGAGCAGCTAAATAAATGGGTGAGTGTATCTAGGAGATATGGAGTCTAGAAGGTTGCTGTCTGTAAACGACTTTGTCTTACTGGCATTTTCTGAATTTGATGTGCACTGCTCTCTGGAAGGAATCTCAGCAGCGTGCGACATGGCTGGCATGCGTGTCAACGTGTCAAAATAGAAGTTTAGAGCTCTCCTGTCTGTTGCTCTCTTCAGATCAACGGAGACGCAGTGGAGCAAGTGGAGAAGTTCAAGTACCTTAAGGTCACCCTTTACTAATCATGAAAATTGGAGGATAGCGTTGACCGGATAATTGGAACAGGCAGTGGCGTTCTCTATGACATGACCCGAACCAATGTGAATAAACTTTCAGCTGAGGGTGAAGACTATCTTCCCGGTTTCCAAGTAGACCTCCATCTTCTTGCTTACAATGGTCATAAATGGTAGACAATGACAGAGATGTTTCTGTCCCGGCTACAAGCGTCTCGAATTGACTTTCTCAGATGAATAGCTGGTTTTCGCATCTCGACATGATAACAGGTACAGATATTCCTTGGAGCCTTGGTCTATAGGCGTTGCTTCTAGTTGAAACGTCACAGCTGCGATGGTTTGGGCATATGTTGCATCCAGGAGTTAAGGCGCAGCACCTCTTTCCCTTTCAGCTGACAGGCAGAAGAAGAGGGGATTGGGAAGTTAACCTGGTGCGAATACATGGAATTTGTCTCATCTGGACTCCAGTTGTCTTCTGCCCAGCCTGGAATTCTGGCAGAGAATCAGAAATTTTGGACGTACTCTCTGACGCCTGTGCCTCGGCAACCCAATGGCAGAAGCGGTCATGAGATATGAACATAAAGATTAGTGAATATGATTTTTTCTGAGGAACGAACTTGTCGAGTTCGAATCAATTCATGTCCTAATGGTCTGATAAATGAATATCCACAAGTTCATAAAATCAACTCGGATATTCGTCACAGTGAAATGGACCTGGTCCAATTGAAATGTATATTTTGATGCTGGCACTTGTGACCTCTGCTTTGTGTTGTGAACATGGAAATCTTTCAATCAAATGTCAGGGATCAAAGTAATCTATTTAACAAGCTAACAAATGATCTCCTCCAAATCATTTTAAATCAATCTTCCGACTACACTGCACATATCAGAGTAAAATGTAAGTCAAGTGCATTATCAGCGTTGTCACATTTTACCACAGGTAGCTTTACACTCATAGGTAACAAAATGGTTGATATGGAATAACAGATGTAAGATCATCTGTGCTCAAATAAGTGATCCGCAACGAATTTTGAAAGGAGACCCTTTGTTATCGTTCCGCCGGACACAAATATTAGAAATTTCAAATATGAGCGAAAATTATGAATCATCCACCGTTGCCGACTATATTATTATACTACTTTGAATAGTGTTCACGAGATCCATCAGATTCAGCGCCGTAAGCTTTTCATACATAAGTAATGGAGTAAAAAGCCATTTTTACCTATTGGCTGGGTTGCCTTCCAGCATACATATCTAGATAACAAATATTCTCATTATCAATGCGCATATAATCAGCAGGAGAACCGTCCATATGTATTCATAAAAGGAACAAGGCCAACTATTCTACCTCGGATCGCATCATCTTCTCAAAAGAATTGTCATGATGGCAGGTTGCCTAACATGAATGGGTATTGCGTAAGAATTAACGCTTCCTAAGAAATTGAATGTTCGCGATTAACCCAAAATTTTACGAGCAATAAGTCGTAGGGTTTCAGCGCATAGGGTTATGATGATTGCTGGAGAGATGCCAAGATGAGCTAAATAAATTAGGTCGGACAGCATGGAGAAGAACCACAGAAAACACCGTCCTACACCACGGTGTAACACAGAGCTTAATTTAGAAGTAGATCGAAAATCAATGATAATGTTTAATTACAGCCTCAAGGTGGTTGCATCCAAAAGAACGCTCTGTCACTACGTTATGACCGTGGTAAACGCATGCTCTTAGTGCTGCTCAATGTGAGTTACTTGTCACCCATGAATGAGTGGTTGCATGGAAGTACGGTGAATTTTACTCATTGCCCTGCATAAGAGGAACGATTGGAAAACAAAAAATATTTACTCAACATGTGCGGTTTGATCCTATCATCTCTAAGCATAGGACTAACTCAACACACCACCTTATCACCCTCCCTACCCCCACCCTTGAAGAAGAGTGTTTGAAATGCATTTCCCAAAATTAACTCGTATGTGGTTCCACAGTCGACGACTTAGGTCGAGACAAAGAAGTTCAGACAGTACAATTCGAAACTAAAACGAAATAATTAGCAATAGACAGCCATCTCGATCAATAAAAATGGGCGAATGAAATCGATTTTAATTCAGGAATAAACATGAACGAAAATAAAATCTTAGATTTCTGTTTAGAGTACGATGATTTTAAAAACTCCAGCTCTGAGGTCTTGGCGGATAAACAATTATTTCCAAGGTAAAAATTATTTTCGAGGAGGTGATCGACTTCCTTCTTCATGGCTTGTGCAGCAGTTGCTATTGCTAGTGGTCTTCATTTGAAAGGGTTCACTCTAGAACCATGACACCAACCTTAAATAGTTCAAAGGCTTCAGTCGCCTATCCAACTGTCATCGTGATCATCCGTCATCAGTTTAGCACCTTTTCCTGACTCGGCATCGTTTTGGTTATGAATTTCTACGAAATCCTCTACGATGTCCTTATGAGGTCTTTGTTAAGGAGCAAAAAAGTGCCCTTCAATTTCTAGCATCATTTTTCAAATAGTGTTGTAAATCAAGATCAGGTCGTTTATTCAGTTGCTTCAGTATAGCGAATTAATTTTTGGCACCGTAATCAACTTTTGAATAAATACGAACGGGCAGAGGTTCTTCCATACATTCC